CGACGTTTTCGGTAGTAATGCGGATTTTCTTCATTTTCGAATTATCTAATTAACTACCTAAACACGTAAAACTGTTAATTACGCAGTACGTGAAGCTGCAGATCTAATTGCACCGTATCCACAGTGCCACAAAGTTCCTGTATAAAGAAACTGAAAGTGATTTCGTGACCCAGCGCCTGCGCTATGTCGCGCATTCTGAGTAATATTTAACCTTCTGGGAATTTAGAGTGAGAAGCAGGTAACCTGGAGAAGGGGATTCACCCTTACATTTTAATGTGGCAACCTGAGCAGATTTTAATCCTGATTTTTTTTTAAATCACTGTTTAAACTATGAAGGAATGCGACTTTGTTTAGATTTTTATTCTTCCTCTGCCAAGCCAAAACCCTATACGTCATCACTGCTTGGTGTTGTAATTGACTGTATCTAATTTTCCAGAAATAATCTTCTTAGCTTCTTATTGGCAGCTAATTTCCCAATAATACATATGAGAGTTTAAACAATTCAAATTATGCCATCAGTCATGAGTTGTGTTTGTCGTCATTCTTTTTTAAGGCATTTGGTTACCTGTGTTCCTGCTTGAAGCCATTATAATGATGTAAAATAATCTTTAACTATGGTGATTCTAAATATTTAGTTTGCACTAAATGTGGGATTGTTTTTTTAATTAAAACACAAATTTGAATCTAAAAATGTACTGATAATTAACATTACAAAAGACAGATTAAAATAATGAGGTTACAGCCCATCTGCATATTGAGAGGAAAGCTGCCAAAAATGAAAAGTGTGCTCTGCTATAAATGAAATGCTGCAAGTACACTTCATTAAATCACTAGGAGACGTTCGAGTTTACTTATATAAAGGCAATTTATACATTTTCGAAAAATCATAAACAGGATTTTATTTGCTTGTCTGTTTCTCAGTCTCTTTACTGGGGCCTATATGAGCTCTCATAGGGCCACAGACAGGGTATAGGTAGCAAATCTATCACAGGGCAGACAACCATTAACACACACATTTACAACTATAGCCAATAATTGGCAGTCAGCCTAAAGAATGCATTTCTTTGTGGAAGGAAACCTCGAGCATTGGAAGAACAGAAAAACCCAACACAGAAAGCCCCCAGCCTTTTTGCTGTGACTCAGTAACAATAACCACAACACCACCACGCTGCCCTTTTTAATTTGCTTCTCTTCTTTCATATTTAAATGCAAATTTCTGTCAGATAAAATCAGTTGTCGTTTTCAATACACCTGGATACAGAATGGTAGGTGTGTGACAAGAAAAGCCCCCTGCTGCAGAGGGATGCCGGTTTAAAGACTTCCATTTTGGAGCTTTTATAAACAGGTGCACACTTAAGTG